TGTAACGAGTGGGAGGCAAGCTTCCGAGCGAGCGAATGGTTCACTCGAGGCTGGACACTTCAGGAGCTGATTGCGCCAGTATCAGTTGAGTTTTTTACCTGCGAGGGATGGCGCCTCGGCAATAAAGAGTCGCTTGAACAGCTGGTGCATGAGATTACCGGTATTCCACTTGCAGCATTGCGCAATTGTCCCTTGGACCAATTTACCACATGTGAGCGAATGACATGGGCCAAGAATCGCAAAACGACTGAGGAAGAAGATAGTGTATACTGCCTTCTTGGAATTCTAGATGCCGCTATGCCAGTCTCCTATGGCGAGGGAAGAGAGAATGCGCTCAGACGACTCCAGATTGAAATAGAAGCAACCAGCAGCGCACCATCCATTATTCCGTTCTCCCAAAACGACCATTTTGTGGGTCGAGAGTCACAGCTTGCTGAGCTAGAGGCGAAGCTCTTCGGCGACAAGCGTACCGCTACCACGTTGGCGATTATAGGATCTGGAGGAACAGGCAAGTCACAGCTAGCCCTTGAACTTGCGTACAGAACAAGACAAAAGAACAAGAACTGCTCAGTCTTTTGGATTGATGCAAACAACGCAGACAGTCTTGATCAGTCGTATGCAAGTATTGCTCAGAAGCTTGACATTCCTGGCTGGGCCGATGAGAAGGTGGATATCAAACAGCTTGTTAAACATCGTTTAGGGGAAGAGTGTGTAAGACAATGTCTGCTCATCTTTGACAACGCAGAGAACATAGGCCTAGGGTCTAGTGGATTAGCAGCGGCACGAGAGGTTGATTTGGCCGACTACCTACCCCACTCTGACCTCTGCTCTGTCATTTTTACAGCAACTGAGATCAGCACTGCAATGCGGGTCGCAGTGCAGAACGTTGTAGAGCTACAGGAACTGACACCAGATGCGGCCAAAAGGATGTTAGATAACTACCTGGACATTCCGATTTCTGAAAGCGAGCAGCAGCCCGCGATCCTGCTGTTACAAGAGGTATCATATCTCCCGCTAGCAATTGTCCAAGCGGCAGCCTATATCAATACCACAGGTGTGACGCTTCAGCAATACCAGTTACTCTTAGAGAGGCAGAACAAACACACTCTTGAGCATAGTGGCGAACCGTCCGAGGACAAAGAACAAGGGCGTACTACAAAGAATCCTGTAGCTGCTACGCTGTTCGTATCTATAGATGAGATCCAACGTAGCAACACACTTGCAGCGGACTATCTGCTTCTTACCGCCTGCGTCGCCCCAAAGGACATTCCGCTCGATCTTCTACCGGCAAAGGAGCCTAGAGAGAGGGAAAATGCGGTCAACATCATTAGCAGATATGCTCTTATTACTAGGCGGCCTGCAGATTCTGCACTTGATATTCACCGATTAGTGCATCGCGCTCTGCGAGAGTGGCTCCAACAGTGGAAGCAGCTAGGCCAATGGGCTCAGGGTGCTACTTCACAGCTACTTCGAGTGTTCCCGGATCACGATCATCAAAATAGAAGCAAGTGGAGACGATTGCTTCCACATGCCAAACATGCTCTGTCGAACAGTCGCGCTGGGCTTGACTGCGAAGACAGATTGGATCTCTTATGTAAATATGCCAATTCGCTGTATTCTGATGGACAATATAACGAGGCCGAGCAGCTGTTTGTGCAAGTGGTGGAGTTAGCAAAGAGGGTGCTTGGGGAGGAGCATCCGAACACGCTGACTAGCATGGCCAATCTGGCTTTAATATATACGTATCAAGGGCGGTGGAAGGAGGCAGAAGAGCTGAATATGCAAGTGATAGAGTTGAGAAAGAGGGTATCTGGGGAGGAGCATCCGGAAACGCTGACTATCATGGCCAATCTGGCTTCAAATTATTCG